AGAGAGAGAGAGAGAGAGAGAGAGAGAGAGAGAGAGAGAGAGAGAGAAAGAAAGGCAGGAAGGCAGGAAGGCAGGAAGGCAGGAAGGCAGGAAGGAAGGAAGGCAGGAAGGAAGGAAGGCAGGCAGGCAGGCAGGCAGGCAGGAAGGAAGGAAGGAAGGAAGGAAGGAAGGAAGGAAGGAAGGAAGGAAGAGGAAGGAAGGAATCTGGATATAGCACTCCTATATTCCTATGGTGTGGTTGGAGGCAGAGACGGGATGGAAGGCAAGAACCAATTCTGAAAGTTGTCCTCTGACCTCCACATACACAACATGAACGTACGTGTACATGTGCATACGCACACATGCATCAAGCATGAAGAAAGGAAGTAAACTCACCGGAGACCCATTTGCAGGGACAAAGAACCTTCTGTAGAGAGCAAATCCCATATCCAGTGCAACTAGAAGAGAAGACACCCGATGAAGCCTCGGATCTCCACACTGGATAGAGTTTTGTTCCCCTCAGCCCTGTCTTGTTTGACTCTGCTGCTGGGCCAGCTGCTATTCTTAGAGCTCCCCCTCCAGCAATTCATTAATTCTCATAACAGCCCAATGAAGTGGAGTTATCAGTAACCCAGTTATGAATTTATTAATCAAAGAAGTAGTTGTTGGTTATATTCCAGCTGACAGCACTATTCTCACAGTAGACATAGAGCAAAGAGCCCTGACCTATGGGGGGGGGGGGGGCGTGCATTGCCAGGTATGTTGGTTGATGCCTATAGTCCCAGTACTTGGTAGGCAGAGGCAGGCAAATTTCTGTTAGTTCGAGGCCAGCCTCCTCTACATACCAAGTTCCAGGCCAGCCAAGGCTACAGAGGGAGAGCCTATTTCAAAAACCAATCAAGCAAACAAAAGACAACAGTGTGTGTGCTATGTTATACTGAGTATGACAGAGAAAATACAGAGGAAGGAGGATTGGGGTGTCAGGAATAGGCTGTCCTTTAAAATATTATGTTTAATTAATTTAGTGTGCGAGTGTGGGTGTGTGCATTGGTGTGCCACAGTGCTTGTGTGGAGTCAGAGGACATCTCGCAGAAGTCAGTTGTTCCCTGCCTCCACTACGTGGCTCCTGGGAACTCAGGATGTCAGGCTTGGTGGCAGGCATGTTTACCCACTGACTGAGCCAGACATTTCATCGGCCAGGCTGTCATGTTTTACTAGGAGGATCGGGGAAGCTCTCCAGGAATCCTTCCCTGGCTGGGACAAGCCATGTTACTGTGTAAAGAAAGAACCTTTCAGACCAAGTGAAGAACAAGATTGGATTTCCTGAGGCAGAAACGACCCCTAAATCACCAAGAGCGTAATCATCTGGGAACTTCTGCTTTATTTTGCTCAAGATACGGTTTTACTATATATCCCAGGATAGTCTTGAGTTTACTGTCTAGCCCAAGTGGGCCCAAACTTACAGGAATCCTCCTGCCTTGACCTCCACAGGGCTGGGATTCTGGGCAGGAGCCATGACTCTTGACACCAAGAACTAAATTACTTGGCACAATTACTAAAAATGAAATTCTCTGGCTCACCCTAGACAGGTGAATGAGAAATTAAAGGCGAGGGTCAGCCTCCCGTGTTGCAGAGAGATTTCCAGGAGGTTCTGGACTTGAATTAAGAATAAAGAGGTAGGTGTCGGGATTAGGCGAGGAGCTGGGGGAAGATGCTCGGGGATTTTGAGACAGGGACTTTGATATACGACTGACATCTCCGTGACAGGAAGGCTTTGAGGGTCTGAGTACGGGTGACAGGAGTCTGATGAGATTTTTGGTTTGCTTGCCTGGTGAGACCAGGAAAGACTCATTCTGGCTGTTAGATGGGAAATAGAATGCAAGAACAGGAGCAGAGAGACCAGGTAGAGGATTGCCTTAGCAACCCACGTGAAGGTAATGGCATTTTCTGCACAAAGGATCCAAGACATGGAACACAACTATAGCTCACTTGGTAGAATGTTTATACCTTGCAGAAAACCCAGGGTTGGATTGCTGGCACTGTATAAAGCCAGGAAAGACAACACAGGTCTACAATCTTAGTGCTCAGGAAGTAGGAGCAGGAGAAGGAGTTCAAGGTTGTCCTCAGCTACTTCTCAAGTTCAAGGCCATCCTGCTCTACCTACACGAACCTACACAAATTGAAAATTTAGAAATTTAGGAAGAAGTTAGACTACCTCAGTAGATTTGGTTTTTGTTTGTTTCTGGTTGTTTTTTTTTTTTTTTTTTGGTTTTTGTTTTTTTGAGACAGGGTCTCTCTGTAGCTTTGGAGCCTGTCCTGGAACTCCCTTTGTAGACCAGGCTGGCCTCGAACTCACAGAGATCCGCCTGCCTCTGCCTCCCGAGTGCTGGGATTAACGGCGGGCTTTTTTTTTTTTTTTTTTTTTGGTTTTTGTTTTTTTGAGACAGGGTCTCTCTGTAGCTTTGGAGCCTGTCCTGGAACTAGCTCTTGTAGACCAGGCTGGCCTCGAACTCACAGAGATCAGGTATCTGCCTGCCTCTGCCTCCTGAGTGCTGAGATTAAAGGCATGTGCCACCACCGCCCAGCTATCTCAGTAGTTTTTAAGCTTTTCCTTTGCAGATAAAAATCATATGCCCTCCATTGCACGAAAATGAGAATCCAGAACAGAACGCATAAGTGAAGCTATGGAGAGAGGCATAGCACACATCCGGAGTCCTGGCGCATCCACAGAGGCACCTCTACCAGCGGCCAGTTCTCCCCAACACTAGACTATCAACCGTCCCTCATGGTGGGGTGGGGGACCCCGAGGAGCCCCTCAGAAAGCTGAGGAGGAAGAGACTGAGGGAGTAAAGTGTTCACCAAGGTCACTTACTTATCAGGATGATGGCAAGCAGTCTGAAGATCCCAAAGGCAGGAATCATTTCTCGAAAATTCTGGGAAAGAGATAAGAATATGATCTATAAGCAAATGTCATCTTAGCCTGACTCCCTCTTCATTTGCTGTTTCATTTAAAGCAATGTTTATTGGTTTTCTTTTTGCTTTTGGTTTTGTTTTCGAGATAGGGTTTCTCTGTGCAGCCCTGGCAGTCCTGGAACTTGCTCTGTAGACCAAGCTGGCTTTGAACTCATAGAGATCCGCCTGCCTCTGCCTCCTAAGTGCCAGGATTAAAGGTATGGGTCACCATACCCAGCTTAAAGCAATGCTTATTCATTAAAGATTTAAAAGACAAATTATATGTCCAACAGTCAAGTTTTCAAATGCATCAGAAAAAAACAAGGCTGCTTGCTGTACTTTGGACCACAAAACAAAATATACTGCTTAATTGTATAATGTAAATTGATGTGGGAGTGTCATATCAATCTGTTGATTTCATTGGCTGAGCAATAAAGAAACTGCTTGGCTGGCCCTCATAGGTTAAAGCATAGATGGGAGGAGAAAACAGAATAGAATTCTGGGCGGAAGAGGAAGTGAGGTCAGACTCTGCTCTGCTCCCGGAGAGACCCGACAACTCTGCTCTCTGGAGCAGAGACACCATGATGGACGGAGGCTAGAATCTTCCCGGTAAGCGCACCTTGGGGTGCTTACATACATTATTAGAAATGGGCTAGTCCAGGTGCGAGAATTAGCCTGTAAGGGTTAGAGTTCATGGGCCAAGCAGTTCTTAAATGAATACAGTTTGTGTGCTGTTATTTCGGGCATGAGCTAGCCAAGCGGCCGGGGTGTTGGGGACGCAGCCCCGCCGCTCCTATTTCAACAGTAAATTACATAATTTCATTACAAGTAACATAAAATTAGCATTTAACTTGTCAATAAATGGAGAGATGAGTCTAGTAAAATATTTCTAAGCCTTTCTGGTTGTTATTCTTTTACTATTTCATCTTCTTTCCCTGTAGGAGTTAAGAGAGATTTACCCAATATTTGAGCATTTCCTTCACTTTTTTACAAGACTGGAAACGGCAGACTATTATTTTTAAATTACATTTTCAGAAATGTATCATGTGTGTGTGTGTGTACACCCATGCCTCACATGTGTAGGTCACATGACATGTGGGAATAGGTCTTCTCCTTTCACCATATGAGGATTGAATTCAAGCGTTAGGGCCTGGTGGCAAGACCTTTACCTGCTGAGTCATCTTGCTGGCCCTAGGCTGTTATTTTTAATCGAACTTTAGCTCCCTGGGAAGAAAGTTTATTATTTGAAAGGGGAGGGAGAAGCAACTTAATAAATCAAAACACAGATGTCTGACTACGTGGTATCCTGGTGACGGCCTGACACAAAGGGTTACAACAGACAGACTGGGAGTTGTCTCTTCTAGTGGCCAAACAATTCTTAGCTAAGAACTCAGTAAATGGTGATAAATCAGGATGCCCTGAATCAAACAACTACTCATTTATAAAGAAAACAAAAAGCAAAAAAAGTCTAAGAGCTGGCGAGATGGCTCCAGAGGATTTGGGTTTGAGTCTAACACCCACATAATGGCTCACGACCATCTGTAACTCCACCTTGAGGGGGTCAGATCCCTCTTCTTACCTCTACACACTCCAAGTATGTACATGGCACACATATATACATAGAGGGAAAATACACATAAAATAATATAATAAATATATTTATAACATAAATAATAAACAAGTTGGATTTTTTTTAAAGTCCAGAAATGGGGTACGGTGGTCTTTGCTTGTCATCTCTGCACGTAAAAGGGTAAAGCCCCAGAACCTAGGCGAGGAGCAAAGTAAAGGCCATCCTCTGCCCACATGTCAGGTACCAGGCTAGCCTGGGCTACATGACAGCCTGTCTTTGAGACTTCCACCCCCAAAATTCTTACCACTATAACATTCATAAAATAGCCTCCCATCAGTGCATAGACTCCTCCTGAAGCACCCACGAGAGACTTAAGGGGGTCAAAAATGGAGCTGGCGAGGGACCCTGGAGAAATAAAACACAAAAGGCCAGACAGAACTGTAAGAATTATAAATGAAGTAGGTTTTAAAAAGTCTAAAGTAAAAATATGAGACATTTTGACCATTTTCATATTAGCAAGCAACAATTCTACCTTGTCCTTCTGTGCTATGTAGATTCGGGCACACAGGTTATTTCCGAAACATTAAACATCTGCTAACATCTGCTAAAAGTTAAACAGACAGGAGCTCAGGCTCTGGAGCCAGACTCATTATCCATGACTTCAGGACATTATGTCTCCTGTCTATACCATGGAAATACGAATAAAACAGTCCCCAGTAGGCTTTGAGAGGACATGAAAGACTTGATACACATATCATCTGAAAGCACTGGGTGATGTGTTTTGTAGCCTGGCTAGCTATGATGTCAGCTGGGCCAGTGAGACTGCTCAGCCGGTAAAAGCTTGCTGCCAAGCCCAATAACTTGATCCCTGGGACCCACATGGGGGAAGGAAAGAACCAGCTCCAACAGGTTGTCCTCTGACCTCCACAAGAGTCTACACGCACATACACACGTACACAAAAAAATAAGTGTTCTGAGTACTAGAGGTATTCTTATCTCCTGTAATTATAAAAAATAGCTGTACCCTCTGAGCCTGAAGGTGGCCTCAGCATCCTTCTTGTCATAAGGTCCAATCATATCCTCCAAGCAAGATGAAACTCACTTAGTAACCCAATCCTAGATATCTGTACCAAAAGGTGAGCCAAATGATGTCTTTGCTATGCTTTTTACTTTCATGGTTTGTCTTTTCCTCTCATGACCTCCCTTGGGATGTAATAGCATCTATATTTTGTGTTAAAAAGAATGTTTGAGGGTTGGAGATATGGCTCAGCTGTTACAAGCACCGGCTGCTCTTCCTAGTAGCTCACAACTGCCCATAACTCCAGTTCCAGGAGATCTGATGCTTAGTCTGGTCACTGCAGGCACTGTATGCATGTGTGCATGTAGGCACTGTATGCATTGTGCCATGTGTGCATGCAGACACTATGCATGTGTGCATGAAGACACTGTATGAATGTGTGCCATGTGTGCATGCAGACACTGTATGCATGTGTGCCATGTGTGCATGCAGGCAAAACTCCCATACACGTGAAAACAAATAAAGGATGTGCTGAGGAAGCACTCAGGGAGGAACAACTTCTCAAAAGAAATTTCTCTTATGAGGAGGGGGAGGGGAAGGGGAGGGACACAAGAGGAGGAGGAGAAACATCTCCAACATGCATACCATGGTACTCTCAAACACACACACACATACATACATACATACATACATACATACATACATATGTAGAATGAAAAGTTGGCACAGAAGCACATACTTTTAATCCCAGCACATGGTAGGCAGAGGTAGGAGGACTGCCACAAATTCAAGGTCAGTCTGGTCTACATTGTAAAATCCTATCTCAAAAAACAAGAGCAAAACACAATAAATGGGAAAATTTTTACCACAGTATATTCACCAGATAATAAATAAAAAGATGGGAAATGGATTTTGTTGTTGTTTTGGTCTTTTAATTTTATTTTTTAACCCACATCTTACTAAGTGGCCTTGGGCTACCCTGGAACTTATTCCGTAGGCCAGGCTGGCCTGAGTGCTGGGATTAAAGTTGTGCTACCACACCTGGCCTGATAACTATTTTTAAAATTGAATTAAATTTTAAAATCTTTCCACAAAGCAAATTACAGGCTGAGATGGCTTTATTGCTGGGGTTTTGTTTTTTTTTTTTTTTTTTTTTTGACAGTGTCTCACATAGACCAAGCTGTTTACAAACTTGTTACGTAGCAGAGGGTAGCCTTAAACTCCTGATCCTCCTGCCTCCATCTCCTGGGTGTTAGGATTATAGGCATCCACCCCACTTCTCTGCTGACCTGTAACAATCATTGAAGTGAGAAGGGATTGCAGGGCTGAGAATATGCCTCAGTGGCAGAGTGCCTGCCTCCCTACTGGGTGCAAGGCTCTGGGTTTGATCCCCAGAGTAATGACAACTCCACCTAACCTTCTCCATAAAGCCGAAGAGGCTAAGACACGTCCCTGCTTGTTGTAGGAAGCAAGCAGTACTTTAGTGCAAAATGAGCAAATTCATTACAAGAAAACTACAGCCAAGGACTATGGGATCTGACCCAGTAGGAGAGCACTTGCCCAAATCTGAGTGCCCTGGAAACAAAGGAAGAAGGGAGGGTGTTATGGAATAATAGCTTAAGCTGTGTTACATTTGTTTATGCTGTGGGCTATTTATTTAGTGATGCAAAGAATTGTTGCATTCTTTGATGTTGCATTTGTTTAACTCTGTGAAGCTGTGTTACTTTGCCTGCCTGAAACACCTGACTGGTCTAATAAAGAGTTGAATAGCGGGCTGGAGAGATGGCTCAGTGGTTAAGAGCATTGCCTGCTCTTCCAAAGGTCCTGAGTTCAATTCCCAGCAACCACATGGTGGCTCACAACCATCTGTAATGGGGTCTGGCGCCCTCTTCTGGCCTTCAGGCATACACGCAGAAAGAATATTGTATACAAAATAAATAAATAAATAAATATTAAAAAAAAAAAAGAGTTGAATAGCCAATAGCAAGGCAGGAGAAGGATAGGTGGGGCTGCCAGGCAGAGAGAGCAAATAATAGGAGAAATCTAGACTCTAGAGAAGCAAGAAAAGGAGAAGTAGAGGAAGACACCAGGAGCCAGCTACACAGCCAGCCACAGAGTAAGAAGTAAAGAAAGATAAATAGAATAAAGAAAGATAAAAGGCCCAGAGGCAAAACATAGAAGAGAAACGGGTTGATTTAAGTTAGAAAACTGGCCAGAATTAAGCCAAGCTAAGGCCAGGCATTCAGAAGTAAGAGTAAGTCTCCATGTATTATTTGGGAGCTGGGTGGTGGGCCCCCAAAGAGGAGGAGGGAGGAAAGGAGAAAGAGAGGAAGGAAGGGAGAGAAAGGGGTAGGAAAGGAAGGAGAGATGGAGGAGGAAGAGGAAGGGGAGGAGGAGAGAGAACCAATACTTCTGGCCTCAGCTGGCACTTGCCCTCATATGCACACACCCACCTACATACACATAATTAAAAACAACATAAATCAGCCTGGTGGTGGTGGGCACACTCCTCTAATCCCAGCTTCAGGAGGCAGAAGCTGGTGAATCTCTGAGAGTTCGAGACCAGCTTGTTCCACAGAGTGAGTTTCAGGACAGCCAAGGCTACTCACCAAGGAAACCCTGTCTCCAAAAACAAAACAAAACAAAAAAATCAAATAAACAAAACAAAATTAGTCTTTTAAAACTTTAATAAATTGAATCCAATAGTTTATAAAAATCATAACATACTATGGCCAAGTGGCATTTGACCTCCCCAAAGCGAGCTTGGATCAACATGAGAAAGTCAATGTCATTCTATATATCACAAACCAAAATGGACAAATTGTATAAATAAACAAAAAATAAGCTAATAAAAAGAGAGGGGTATGGAAAGAAAAGAGGCTGCAGAGGCATCTTAGCTGTACAGCCTCGCTCAGCAAACATGTAGGCACTGGCTTAATCCCTACCCTACCAAAATCGAAAAAGGGAATGAATGACAAAATGCAGACAGAAGAAAATATCTGCATGTCATATATAGTTCCATTCAATAAAGAACGTGAGCCAAAATTTCAAATGGGCAGATGATTCAAACAAACCTTTCAGAGACGCCAAAACGGCAAGAGGGAGTCATGAGCCATCAGAAATACACATTTAACCCCACCCGATTAGCACTAGTCACATAACAGACAGGCTAATACAAAGAAAACTAACAGTACTAAACTATTTGTCTATGAAAGAGCAGGGACTTCTGCTGTTGACATGAAACAGTTCACTCTACTGTCATATGCCCTACAAAAATGTGGGTTCCAGGGTCCCATCCCCAGAGTGTCTGAGTCAGTAGGTCTGGTGGGATCTGAGAGGGATCTGAGCAGCCTCAGGTGTCCTGAGCTCTCCAGGTGTCTGTGACCATCAGTCAGCTTGCGGATGCCGAGCGGAAGGCAAGCAGCATAGCTCAGTCTTTTCATGTGCTCCTGTGAGCTTACGGGAAGGGGAATTCTAGGGTCAGATCTGATCTGGCCCCAACACTCTGCCTTAACAGTTTCTTCTGACGCTGGCACTGTGGATCGGCAGGCACACCTCAAGGTAGCAAGGGTAAGAAACTGAGGTGACAGGGCACATGGAGAAGCGTAGAGAAAAGGCAAGGGTGACAGAGAGCTCATTTGGCATCTTGGCTTTCTTTTGACCACTGGGAATCACTAGGTTCTAGTCTATTTGCAGGTGATCCCAACAGATTGGGAACCATAGACCTGAATGGCGAGAGAAACCTGCCAAGAAGCAATTGCCCAAATCACCAGAGACCGTGAGATAACCCTTCACGTCCTCCTGCAGGACTTCTCTGATGCTGGGGCAGTGCTGCCCACAGGTTCAAATCCAGCCCTGGGCGGAGCAGGAATGTGTAATAGATGCACGAAGCCCACAAGTCTACACCTCTGTATTCGAGGACAGGACAAAAAGATGCAGGAAGAAACAGAAAGAGAAGAACCTGGATACAGTAGGTGGGGCATCTGATGGGGAGCCAAGCCTTGGCACCAGGCCTTCACAAAGCTCTGTTTACTATAGCTTGAGACTGCTTCCTGCTGTCCATATTCCTGCCACTGCACACTACAAATCAGCAAGTCTCTCAATAGCAGTTGACAAATATCTCCCATCATCTAAGGAGGAAAGGAAAAGCAAACACTAAACTGAGTTGAATTGTAATCCCTAAACCACATGTTGACATCCAATGCCCAGGAATAATATTTGAAAACAGGAGATCTTATTGGATTTGTTTGTTTGTTTTGTTTTTTGAGACAGGGTTTCTCTGGGTAGCCATGACTATCTTGGAACTCAGTCTAGACCAGGCTGACCTCGAAACCAGAGATCCATCTCTACCTCCCGAGGGCTGGGAGTAAGGTGTGCACCACCACAACCCATCGAGATCTTATTTGAAAATAAGGCTACAAAGGAGAAAAATATTGGTACCAGATGTGGTAGTGTGTGATGGACAATTTTATGTCAATTTGACACAAGTTAAAATTATCTGAAGGGCTGGAGATTGGCTCAGAGGTTAAGAGCATAGGCTGCTCTTCCAGAGGCCCTGAGTTCAATTCCCAGCAACCACATCTTGGCTCACAACCATCTGTATTAATACCCAGTGCCCTCTTCTGGCCTGCAGGCATACAGGCAGGCAGAACACTGTATATATAAACAAATAAATTTAAATAAATAATAAAATGAAATCATCAAGGGGGAACTTCAGTCAAGAAAATGCCTCCATAAGATAAAGATTGGACTATAGGTAGGCCTGTAGGGCATTTTTTAAATTAGTGATTGATGAGGGAGGGTTCAGCCCATTGTGGGTGGTACCACCCCAAAGCTGGTGGTCCTGGGTTCTATAAGAAAGCAGGCTGAGCAGGCCATGAGGAGCAAGCCAGTAAGCAGCACTCCTCCATGGCCTCTGCATCAGCTCTGCCTCCAGGTTCCTGCCCTGTTTGAGTTTTTCTCCTGAATCCCTTCATTGGTAACTAGCAATGCTGAAGTGTGAGCTGAATGAACCTTTTCTCCCCAACTTGCTTTTTGGTCACGTGTTTCATCCCAGCAATAGAAACCCTAAGACATGACTCATTCCTGCAGTCTCAGTACGGGGAAGGCTAAGGCAGAGGATCTGGTGTTTGAGACCAGTTTGGGCTACATTAGAGAGTGCTTAGGCAGCTTGAGCTATGAGACCAGTCTCAAAAACAGAAAGGTTGGGCTGTGGTGGTGCATGTCTTTAATCCCAGCACTTGGGGCCAAAGGCAGGTGCATATCTGAGTTCAAAGTCAACCTGGTCTGTAGAGAGAGTTCCAGGACAGCCAGGGCTACACAGAGAAACCCTAACTCATAAAAGAAAACAGAATTAGAGAACAGAAAAAAAGAAAGGCTGGGGATGCGGCTCAGCAGGTCTTTGCCTAGAAGTCAGAAAGCTGCTGAGACCCCAACACCATATAAACCCAGAATCCTACCACTGGGGAAGTGGTGGGAGGAGGATCGGGAATTCAGAGCATCCTTGGTTATTTAGCAAGTTAAAGGCTAGCCTGGGCTACAGGATGCCCTGCCTCAAAAAGCAATGGGGGAAGGGGTAAAACAACTCAGTTATCCTTTAAGGAGTCAACAACTAGACAAGACTGTAACACAGCTGGGCGGTGGTGGCGCACGCCTTCAATCCCAGCACTCAGGAGGCCGAGGCAGGTGGAGCTCTGTGAGTTCGAGGCCAGCCTGGTCTACAAGAGCTAGTTCCAGGACAGGCTCCAAAGCTACAGAGAGACCCTGTCTCGAAAAACCAAACCAAAACATAACAAAACCGTAAACAGAATACTTCTCTGCAGTGGCAAAAATTAACCGTGATGCTTTTCTGAAATGACACAAACGAAGAGTGAGAACAGGCTAGTGCTTGTCAGCGGTAAAGAAGGAAGAGAGCTGGGAAGAAAGAGGCTGAGCCATAAAAAGGCAGAGTGAGGGTTCCCTGGGGTTGTGGGTATTTACTCTCTCAACTACATGACTGTGAACGGTGTGACCATGAACTGCGTGACCGTGAATATCTTGGCTGTGTTGCTATGTTAAAATTTATAGGATGGTGGACTGGGAAGTTGGTTCAGTGGTTAAGAGCACTGGCTGCTCTTCCAGAGTTCAATTCCCAGCAACCACATGGTGGCTCACAACCATCTGTAATGAGATCTGATGCCCTCTTCTGGCCTGCATGCCTACCTGCAGGCAGAACACTGTATACATAATAAATAAATTAAAAAATTTTTAAAAATTTACAGGATGGCAACACTGGGGACAAACGAGCAAAGCATTTGGGATCTTAAGGTACCATTTCTTAGAACTCATATCAATCTACAGCTTTCTCAAAATGAGAGCATTTATTTATTTTGGGATATCTATGTAGCCCTGGCTGATCTGGACTGGCTCTGAAGACTGCCTCCCAAGCGCTGGGGTTAAAATCGTGCACCACCACACCCAGCAAAGTGTCTTTCTTAAATACAAATCTGGCCATGTTACTCTCCAGGCCCTTTGGTCTAGCAGATCAGGGGCTTCAAGATCCAAACACCAAGCTGTTTGCAGTTTTGAATCATGTGAATGCTACAAGGTTAATCTGAGAACAGCCACTGTGACCTTTCTTCAGGCACTGGTAGCATCTCTAATATCTAATCTCTAGACCAGTCATCTCTAATACTTACCATGTTCCTTACCATGTTATAATTATGCATGTCATATGCTGGGTGCAGTAAATATTGACTCCAGCAAAAAGCCCACTGTAGGCATCTATTACCTTTGGCTTTGTCTCAAGAGCCCAGACGTGTCGAATCCATGTCCCCCAGAACACTGACCTGCAAGGACTCCTGCCAGGTACACCAGCCCCACTCGGAGGCCTTTGTGGACCATTTCCAAGGGGATGCCCAGAACAAGCTGCATGAAAAGATTGCCCACGATGTGCTGGACTCTGCAGAGACAAACACTGGTCAAATATCCAAGCGGCTGTGGTCATGGGAGACTTGCATGTGATAGTGCTCCTTAAGAATGTGCTAGAATCTTATTGCCTATCTTTTAATAGACAGAGAGAGCGAGCCCCTGTGGCAGCCAGAAGAAAGTGCCGCATCATTTAGCGCTGGAGTCACTGAAACTGTGGGCCACTCCATGTGAGTCTTAGGATCACAGTTACCGTCCTCCTGGCTGAGCATGAAGCCCTCTTAACCACTGAGCCCGTCTTCATTCTAGTTTTTTTAAGCAGGCAACTCTGTTGTCTGTTTTGTTCTCTTTTTTTTCTCTTCTCTTTTTAAAAAATAATTCTTAAGACTTTTTTATGTATATAGTGATCTATTTGCATGTATGCCTGCACAAAAGAGGGCATCAGATCCCACTATAGATGGCTGTGAGCCACCATGTGGTTGCTGGGAATTGAACTCGGGACCTCTGGAAGAGCTGTCAATGCTCTTAATGGCTGAGCCATCTCTCCAGCCCAACTCTTATCTATTTTGAAATAAAATCTTCTTTTGTTTGTTTGTTTTTGTTTTTTTGAGACAGGGTTTCTCTGTGTGGCCTTGGCTGTCCTAGAATTTGTCTTGTAGCCCGACTGGCCTTCGAACTCACAGAGATCCTCCTGCCTCTGCCTTCTGAGTGCTGGGATTAAAGGCATGTGCCACCACCACCTGGCTTGAAATAAAATCTTACCTGAAGCTTCGATATGTAAAACAAATAAAAGTATTTTAGAAATATAAATGTATAAATTTTGCTTTACAACAATTATAACTGAAACAAACACCAAGGAAACTAACTAAAAGAATGAAGTCCAGGCATGGTGGGCCACAACTTTCATTCCTTTTCCTGGGAGGCAGAGGCAGGTGGATTTCTATGAGTTCAAGGCCAGTCTGATCTACACAGTTCCAGTACAGCCAGGGCTACATCAAGAGACCCTGTCTCAAAACAAATTTTAATGAAAAACAAAAGTGCTCAAGGGCTCAGGATGTAGTTCAGAGGAAACAGCACTTGCTCGGCGCACATGAAGCTCCGGGCTTTAGGCGAAGCACCCAGCACCCTGCCCTGTGTGTCTGCTTAGTCACAGATCAAAAACTGGTCATTTAAATCCAGGGTGGGGTGGGTCACATGGGTGAAGCTCAATTCACCCAATACCACAGGGCTCCCCCAAAGAAACAGGACAGCCACAAGCAATTTGCTGGCCACAGTGGGCATGGGAGACCAAACACAATGAGTAAACACTTTTCACACTTTTTTTTTTTTTAAGACGTGTAGCCTATGCTGGCCTTGAAGTCTTGATCCTCCTGTCTCTACCTCCCACCTACTGAGATTGCAGGCAAGCACCATGGGTCGCCTGGTTCTAAGTAAAGTCTTGAGAGGCTCTCACATTTAAGAAACTGTAAATGAGGGGCTGGAGAGATGGCTCAGTGGTTAAGAGCACTGCCTGCTCTTCCAAAGGTCCTGAGTTCAATTCCCGGCAACCACATGGTGGCTCACAACCATCTGTAATGAGGTCTGGTGCCCTCTTCTGGCCTGCAGACATACACACAAACTGAATATTGTATACATAATAAATAAATAAATATTAAAAAAAAAACATTCCCGACACACACTTTAAAAAAAAAAAAAAAAAAAAGAAACTGTAAATGACCGGGTAGTAGTGATGCACGCATTTAATCCCAGCACTCAGGAGGAAGAGGCAGGCGGACCTCTGTGAGTTTGTGGTCAGCCTGGTCTACAGAGTGAGTTCCAGAACAGCAAGAACTACGGGGGGGGGGGGGGGGGGGGGGGGGGGGGGGGAGAAAGGAGGGAGGGTGGAAGGGAAGGAGGAAGGAACTGTAAACAAAACTAGGAAGCAAACATTGCCTCCCTGTTCATTATCTTTCTTTTTTGCTTCTTTCCCTCTTGTGTGTGTGTGTGTGTGTGTGTGTAGGGGGGGAGGGAGGTACAGGTGTTGTGTAACTGTACCCTGAGCCCAGGAGAGGGCGCTAGGGCTTCTCTTCCATCATTCACTGAGGCAGCACCTCTCCTGAACCCGAGGTCTGTGTTAGTCAGCTAGGCTGGCACCTAGGGAGCACCAGCAATCTTCCTGTCGCCACTTGTCACAGCGCTGAGGTGACACACACATGAGACCATGCCCAACAAGTGCTCTTAACCACTGTGCCTTCTCTCCAGTTCCACCTATGCGGCTTCTGTACCTCCTTGAGCTGCTAACTGGTAGAGAGTCGGTTAAATCCTAGTGCGCATCAGTCAATATGCTCACAAGTTAATATTTACAGTGCGTTTGGAGGAGGCAGACTGGTGGTTGATTCAGTTCTGCTTCTTCACCTAAAGGGTGACTGGACGGCATCAGAGTAGGGTGACCTACTTTTGGTTTGATAGTGATTTGGTCTTATCTCATTAATATTCTCTCTTTTTTTTTTTAAGACAGGGTTTCTCTGTGTAGCCCTAACTGGCTGTCCTGGAACTCACTCTATAGACCAGGTTGGCCTTGAACTCATAGAGTTCTCTGCTTCCAGAGTGCTGAAATCAAAGGTGTTCAGCTCATTAGCATTCTTATATCAATACTAACATTAGACAGATATGCAGAGTCCAGTACTTCTAGCTTCCAAGGGCACCAGTGCTCATGTGGCAGATACACACACACCAATCATCATCATCATCATCATCATCATCATCATCATCATCATCAATTATAACAACAAATGTTCCAAACAGATCAGTGGCAATTTGGATTTTTTTATCTCTCTTCCTTCACCCCACCCCCCATCCTCTGGGAGGATCTCACTATGTAGCCATGGCTGACCTGAAATTCTGTGTAGACCCGGCTAGATTTCAATTCAGGAGTCTGCTTGCATCTGCTTTCCTAGTGCTGGGATTCAAGGTATGTTCCATTGCACCCTGCTTTGTTTTACTTTTTTTTAAAAAATTAAATCTTAGTGTGTGTGTGTGTGTGTGTGTGTGTGTGTGTGTATAGACAATTTGTGGGGGTCAGTTCTTGCCTTCCACTATGTGGGTTCTGGGGATTGAACTAGGGTCGTTGGGTTTGGCAGGTGTCTTTACCTTACCCTCTGAGCCATCTCACAGACCCCCTGTTTTTATTTGTGTTTTAAGACAGAGTCTGGCCAAGTGGCTGGCTGGCCCGAAATTCGACATGTAGGTCATGTGGACCTCAAACCTGCCGTGATCTTCTTGCCTCTGACTGCCAAGTGCTGGAATGACAGGCATGTGCCACTTTGCCCAGCCTAACAATTACTTCTGATCTCTTCTGACACCGTCGGTCATCATCCCTTACCCGGCGTGGACCAGCATGTATGAGATAAACCTCCAGGCTTCTTCCCTCTTCTCGGGGAGGTAAGTTAAGGGACTTTCCAAGATCCCCTTGTCCAGAGTGATCCACTGTTTCTGAGGCTTCCACACAGCATAGTAAACAAACACGGCCAGCTGTCAAGGAGGAGCAATCATGCCGGTTAACCAGGCTTCCTCTAAAGGTGGGCCCCATTCAAACCCACGGGCAGTATCTGCGCCTGAGTGATTAGCTCTTCATGGGCTCCAAAGACGGTGGAGTTAAACTTCTCCCCCATCCCCCACAATGGTCAGACTTCCTCATGGTGAGGAGCAGCGTTAGGCCAGATTGTAATGAAGCAGATGAGTCCCTTTCTCTTTGCTCTCCTAACCCTCTGTTGTCACTCTGTGCTCTTGTCACCCTTCCTGATTACACGACCTGTGTCCCTCACCTTCACTCTGACTTCACAGCCAGAAACCTGGCAGACAGTGATGAAGATGGGTACCCCAGTGATGTCGTGTGAGGTCCTGTGTCCCAGTGATGTCATGTGAGGTCCTGTGTCCCAGTGATGTCGTGTGAGGTCCTACCTCCTGGTGTGATGGGAAGGGCACTTTACATTCTATGACATTCTTCACAACTCTAGCCTAACTATGAAAAAAAAATCAGACAGCCCCAGACAAGGACACTCTACAAGGTACCTGGCCAATATACTTCATCTTTATCAAGGTCATGAAAGACACTGAGAAGCTGTCCAGAGTCAGAGGAGCCTGGGGAGGCAGGACAACTTAATGCAGTGTGAAACCCCGTATTGGAAGGGACCAGAGAACGAGAAAGAGACATTAGTGAGAAAATCAATCAATCCAAGTAAAGCCTGAAGTTTAGTTATTAGTGCAGGTTCAGCCTCCGGAATATAAAATGTAAAATCCAAAATGCTCCCAATTTTGAAGTTTTTGAAAACCAATGAGACACTTGAAAAAGCTTCGGACATCTGAAGAGATGGTTCAGTGCTCTTCCAGAGGGTCCAGGTTTGATTCCCGTCACCCACACCGTGACTCCAGTTATCTGGCCTCTGAGGACATGAGACACGCACGTGGTACACACACATACGTAGGCAGAACACCATACACATAAAGTAGTAAAAATTTAGAGGACAAGTTTCAGGTTTCTATGTCCGTGCTGACCTTCATGGGTGTGCACTTACACATGGAGGCCAGAGGTCAACATCAGGCGCCAGACACATTGCTTTTTGAGACCGAGTCTCTCATTCACCTGAAGCTCAAACGGTAGGCTAGGCTGGCTGAGTAGCAAGCCTCGGGAATCCATCCATTTGTCTCCACCTCCCTAGAGCTGGGATTCAAGCGCACACCCTAACTCCTGACTCTTTTACATGGACTCTGGGGATCAAAGTCACGTCCACATACCTGCATGGGAAGTATTTTACAGACTGAACTATTTCCCCAGACCCAAACTTTTAGATTCGGGTGTACTAAAGTCTATTCAAATAGTCCAAAATTGGAGCCAGATAGATGTCTCAGCCATGAAGAATGTATCCACTGCTCCTGCAGAAGACCTGAGTTCAGTTCGCAGCATCCACACCTAACAGCTTACAACTGCTTCTAACTCCAGCTCCCGGGAATCTAGTGCCCTCTTCTGGCCTCTGAAGGAACTTGCACTCACACGCACAACCCTCCCTACTCCCACACACATATACTCATAATTTAAGAAATTATTCAGAAATATTCTGAAATACAGGCACTGAAGAGATGGCTCAGTGAATAAAACCATACATTGCTCTTCCAAAGGACCAGAATTCAATTCCCAGCACACATATCGAGCGGCTCACAACCATTTGTACCTCCAGCTCCAGAAGGGATCCAATAACTGGCTTCTTCAAGCACCAAAGAAATTGCAAGCATTTCTGTTAAGAGATACTCAGCCTCGGGACAGAGGTGGTGCACATCTTTAACCCTTGGGAGGCAGAGGCAGGTGGATCTCTGTGAGACCTTGGCCAGCCTGGTCTACAAAGTGAATTCCAGGACAGCCAGATGTATAACACAAAGAAATCCTATCTCAAAAAGAAAGAGAGAGAGAGAGAGAGAGAGAGAGAGAGAGAGAGAGAGAGAGAGAGAGAGAGAGAGAAAGAAAGAAAGAGGTACTCTTCCAACACTATGGCATTGGTGTTTTAGATCTAAGGCACTTTGGAACTTTGTAACATTAACAATGGAAGAATTTTTAGAACATTTCTTTTCTCTTTTTGAGACAGAGTTTCGTGAATCCCAGACTGGCCTTGAACTTGCAAAGTGGCAGAGGGTGACCTTGCTTGAAGTTCCGACCCTCCTGTCTCCAGTTCTTGAGAGCTAGGATTACAGGTAAGTCCTGCTGTATCTGGTTTTACAAAATGTCGGGGAGTAAATGCTGGGTTTCAAACACGCTAGGCAAGTCCTCTATCAACAGAGCAAATTCCTCAACTGGTTCTCCTGTAAGAGGCAGCAACTGCGGCCCCTTCTCCAGGACCTCACTGTGGGGAGCGATGCTCTGAAAGCATTGCCTTGTTCTTAAACACGAGATCACCTCCCGTTCTTTCTCCAGCGCCCCCCTTGTCCTCACGCGCACTCAGTACTGGGGGATGCACAGTCACACTGGGTAGTCCAGACACACAGAGAATCCAGACACAGAGCCTAGCGCTTGCTTCCCAGTCTTGCAATAAAGCCCCATAAGAAAGACGCCTCTGGAAATGGCTGTGGAATATTACTAGATGTGTTACAATTGTTTGTGCTGCGTTTGTTTAACCATGTAAAGATGTGTTGTATTTGTTTCACCTTGCCTGCTTAAGGCACCTGATTGGTCCAATAAAAAGCTGACTGGCCAATAGTTAGGCAGAAGAGGGATAGGCAGGATTGCTGGGCAGAAAGAATAAGTCAGAAGGGGAATCAAGGCTCAAGAGAGAAGAGAACAAGAGAGAAAGAGGGCAACACCTGGAGCCCCCCAGTCAGACATGGAGGAAGCTGGAAAGCAGAACATGCAGACAGAAAGAAAGGTTAAAGGCCCCAAGGCAAAATGTAGATGAAGAAAAACAGGTTAATATATGTTAAAAAAAAGAAAAAAGGCTGGTGGGACAAGCCTAAACGAAGGCTGAGCATTCATAATTGACAATAAGTCTCCTTGTCTTGATTTGGTAGTGGTTGGTGATCCAAGAAAGCCTGCTACAGGAAATGGTTGCACACTTGCTATGAAAGGTTTGGTTTCTGCAATGATTTATTTTATGTTCAGTTTGGCAAGGTTCATATAGACTCAGATACATCTTTAATCATTCCAGATGTTCCTATGAGTTTTTTTTTGCTCTTTTGTGTATTGTCTACCCATTAACTAGTTAGCTAGCTAGTGAATTACTTAGTTGCAGCATCCCACTATATAGCCTAGGATAGCCTCAAACTTGCTGTGTAGTCCAGGTTCTCTTAAACTCAAGATTCTTCTACTTCAGTTTCCAAGTCTAATATTACAAGATCATGTCCCCATGCCCACCTGAGATCATTTCTTTTTTTTTAATATTTATTTATTTATTATGTATACAATATTCTGTCTCTGTGTATACCTGAAGGCCAGAAGAGGGCACCAGACCTCATCACAGATGGTTATGAGCCACCATGTGGTTGCTGGGAATTGAACTCAGGACCTTTGGAAGAGCAGGCAATGCTCTTAACCTCTGAGCCATCTCTCCAGGCCCTGAGATCATTTCTTGAGATGAGATGAATATTTAATTTGTACCCTTTCCCCTCCATCTTGTGTGAAGATTCAGAAGAAAGCATTGATAGAAAAAGACTATTTCTTTTTT